CTCACGTCAGGTCATTTTGGAAGTTCTTTCATTTTGTTAATCAGTTTCCGCGACCTGCGCGACTTGTGCGCGTAAAAATGGTCACCCGGTTTTGAGTTCGCGATTCTTGAGCAGAGTTTTTGTGATAACTATATCGAGCCACCTTAACGATTAACTATCAAGTACGCGCTTCTTATTCAGGATGACGTTTCCACTAACTATAGTTAACTTTAATCACTTTTTTATACTGAACCGGCCCCAGATATCTTAATATATATTTGCAGTGAATTAATCCCGCCGGTAATCAAAGACAAAGTTGCGAGAAAATGCGTGACTAGATATAATTTTGTATACAGCAAATAAAATAAAGAAAATTATGATTTATGTAGTCGTATCCGTAACAAACGCACTCGTTGAACTAAATGATTGTAAAGAAAACCTGTCATCTCATCTTATAAAATTTATGCTGGATTTAAGGATCGAGATTAAGGCAAGGATTTATGGCTGGGGAGAGTTCTACTCATTGGTTCTACTCTGAGGACTCAATTTGAAATAACAGTTGGAAATGTAGCCGCTGTATTAACAATACGTGATAATTTGTGCTTTGGCGTTGGGAGACCCCTAAACAGGGTCGGCCAAGGGGTTTTGGGTATACAGGATCTAATGGGTATTTAATTTGAGTGTACTGTATATTTACTTAAATGTTATGACTAATTTTGGGTATTAGGTATACAGCAACGACAAACCGCTTTGCAGGGCTATATTATCCGCATTTTACAACATTTCGCAACGAAACTTCGGAATATTACTAATTTTGTGATGCTCTTTCAAGCTGTTATAAAATCTTTGTCTATACTCGGTCTAGATCAAAATTTTGTTCATTAGGGAATGGATCCATTGGGGGGAGGGGGGGGGGGCGAATATTCATATCTTCGTGTTCTGCATTATTAACTTCTTTTGAAATCGATTGTTTTTATGGTCTGTGAACACAAATATATGAATATTCGCGCCCCCCCCCCAATTATCGAGCTGGCGGCGCCACTCGGATCGAAGTGGAGGTGCATAGTGCAAGGATGCTAATTTCTTTGTGAATTTCATTGTATTAATAGTCATCTTCGACTCGCGTCGTTGCATTTGTGTGACTGTGTCCTAGCTTGCTTACCTAATAGTAATAACATTTTATTTCGGCATATAGTTTTTTGAAGTGTAATATTTAAGGCTGTTTCCTGTCACGCTCCCGTAGTAGATTAAGCTTTGTTTACTTCACTTGTGTGATTGGAGGGGGACCGGGAAGCTGGTGTTGAGATGACGCAAGTTCGAAGCCGCGAACCCCATTACACCTACTGTTGAAACAGTGCATGCGAAATGCATTCAAAATGTGCAATGGTGCACATAGTGTTTTTTTTAATTAATCGAAAAGAGCAAGATAGAGAAACTTAGTAAATAAAGAAAGTAATTGACTAGTCCATCGTCGTACAGAGCCGACTTTGGAACTGAATTAGCATAACTCAATTTATGGCGCACAAGCATAGCCTGTTGAATTTGATTCATTGGTGTGGAAAGTCGACCCTCGAGATCGAGCCAGTGAACTCTATAAATACGTTTTTATAGAGTTCACTGGGTTGAGCTCATATCATGCCACAACAGGCCGGAGCCCGACTATGACCTATATCAATATCTAGATCTCTGTATCAAATATATTAACCATACATAATCTCTATACAGTTACATTAAAGCGGTCAGTGCAGAAACGCGCGTGAATAAAGCTCCATACCAGAGCGCTTAAAACCTTCGCCCCGTTTCCGCACGCTCCTTCGCCCAGAAATGTATCTCAACAGAACTGTATCCCAATACTAATCGTAATCATAGCCAAGTTGGCTAAGCCAACAGAACCCTCTGCGAAGGAGAGAGGTAGAGAAGCCAGAAGCGACTAAAAAAATACGGCTCAACCTCAACCAATCAGATTGCACTAGTAGCTCATTTTGGATTGAGATTTGAGGATTGGAATGGAAGTGGAAGCACCATGTCAAATGTCCCTCACCATCACTGCTCACCATTCACTCACACCCTGTGCTCACTCACCATTCAAAGAAAAAAATAGAAATTTACAAATTATGAGTGATTCCACGAATAATTTGCAAAATGTAGCATGTTCTTTGTAATACATTATGTGATTTTTGAGCAGAAATTGTTGTGCATTCTTAATTCTGTAAGTTGACTGGCTTTGAAATATAGATTCGAGGTATATTTATTTCACTATTTTAATAATATAATATGGCGACTGTCGAGATCCCGGAAGTTAATGTTACTGGTCAACTTATTCCCATTCAAGAGCTTGACCGAGTGAAAAGTGCTGTTTGCTTATTGAGATCAACCACTAAAGATCCAAGGTAAAAACATTTGAAAATCCTAATTATTTTAATAGTTGTTCACACAAGCCGGATTAGCAAGGCAAACCAGTTAGCCCTGACTGGAAAGTTTGGAAATTGCATACCTGAGATTTTAAAAATTCAATATTCAT